TGAAACATTTGTAATTATAATTTAATACCTTTTGTACACGTATTTTAGAAGCTTCATTTGGGCGAAGATCTGTTTCGTCCAAAAGTTGACAAGCAAGAAGAACTGATTCCTCTTTAAAATAAGTAACGAGAGCGTCACCTTTTAGACGATCTTGATCATCTTTGTAAAGTTTAATTTTTGGACCACCTGAAGTATATTTCTCTTATATTAAGCAGAGTAATAATTATAATACGGAATAAACCTTAATGATTAAAAATAAATTACCGGATTGTAAATCTTCTAATAAAACACCGTACTTTGAGAAAACTTCAGCTAATTCTTCGACAGTAACGTCAGGTGGTAGTCCGCTGACATAAACTGATGTATTTGCTGGTTTTTTCTTTTGTGAATTATTCGATTTTTGTTTTTTACCACTTTGATCTGTCTTAAATTTTTGAATTAAATATTTGATTAGTCACTTAATTTTAATAAAAATATATATATATATATATTAAGAGAGAATAACATATAATACACATACATCATCAGTGGTAAAAACTTTCTTTCTTTTTTCCCGTACCATCGGATTAGCAGGTTCCTTTGGTGGCGGACACAAAAACACAGAAAATTCGTTTTGTGTTGTCATTTGAAGTGACCATATTTTACTGTATCATGGTAAAGTATCTTACGCTTTCGTCGACACCGGGAACTGAATATGCGAGTTGTTGAAGTTTCAACAAAACTTCTTCGTCCTATTCGTAAAGATCATTCATTTTGTTAATATTATTTTTAAGAAATTACTTATGTTATTAAAAGTAAGTAAACTTACCATTTGGCACCATTGTTGTTGTTCTTCATTATATTCCCAGGTATTTCCATCATCGCTTGTATACGTCCATTTACCCGTTTCCTCAACATAGTGCATATGTGGATCAGAAGCAAAGTCTGAAAAAGAGGGTAGAACTGGGTTTGTTTCTTTGGCTAACGCCTCTTTCTTTATAGAGTCGCTCATCGATAATTATTTTGAGAAGGTTTTCACTTTAAAAAAAAAAAAAAAAAAAAACAAATTGGATTATAACTATAGACAGCAAGACAGGATATTATATAACGATAATATTTTTTTATAAGGTAACCTAATTGACGCAGTGCCTAAATTGATGCATCACCTATCGCTATCGCTATCTCGTGAACAAAAATCATACGACAGCTGCCTATACAATTATCATGATTAAAATTTCGGATTCATTTTACATTAAATATAACAGATAAAGGTTAATTTCGTTTACGTTTTGCTAATAAAAATGACCTTTCGGAACTATGTCTTTTGTTTAGCAAAGATCCTAAAGCAAAATTATTATTATTATTTTAGAGTTACG